CAGCGTTAACCACCAGACCGTTCGTTCATCCACGACGGTGCCCCGTTGAAATGACGGGTTTAAGTTCAACTCCAAGAATTCGACCGGTTCAGAAAAATGTATTTGGGATGGGAGATTTGAACCCCTGACTTGTAGCGCACGGGGCCGACTCTCTACCGGCGCGGCTACGGCGCCACAGTCTGAGTGGCCGGGCGAGCTTGGCTAAAGGCACGAGTCTTCGCAGTAGCTTGAGCGGGGGAAAAACCGGTCCCATCACAACACTCTCTCACCTGGCCCTTCGAGACCGGCCTCGTGGCTCTTTGATATCGCTGCGAAGTTTGAACTGAGAGTCGTGGGTTCTAATACTCGTCGCGCCGTCTAATTATTCGTTTTTATGTTTGAATTCGGTGCAGCTAGATTGTCCGGCCTATTTTTCTCCGACCTGGTAATTTTTCCAAAACCCACCAAAGTTCTGTTCGACCTTCTTTTCTCCGACCTCGTCGATATGCTAAAACTTGGGAAGAAAGTACTTCAAAGAGGAACAGGCTTCAAAAATAGAAAGCTACGTCGAGGGACGTATCGTGAAAGCAGATGACACAAATTTAAGGAAATATTTGTGTGTCCTAATTTTCTCTCGTATTTTTCTGTAATTTGTTTACGTTTTGAAGTGCGGGGAACAGCATATCAAAATATGACTTTTGGGGAGTTCCTTAGGTGAGGGATCAGACGGGACTTAGCCACCGTATCGCTGTTTTAGCGACTGCACACCTCTCTCCCGGTTCGGCGGTGGCGCCAAACGTCCGGGTGCAGGGCGACACTTTGGGTCCATGCTGACCCAGCCGACCTCTCACCAAAGTAACCCATAAAAGTTATCCCTGGACCTGCACCCGGACGTATGGCGCCACCGCCGAAACGGGAAGAGCGACACAGCGGATAAGTCCCGGCCGATCCCTCACCTAAGCAACCCCCAAAAAGTTGTCGCCATCTTTTGATGTGTTGTTCCACGCACTTCAAAACGCACAAATAAGT